CTGGGAGGAAATCGCCCAGGACACCATCCGTTGTCTCAGGAGCATGCCCTGCCGTTGTCAGGCATGCATACAAGCACGTGGGGGCCATACAAACTACTGAGGACCATTTTGAGTTCCTGCAATGAAATTTCAGCAAAATGGACTAGCCTGCTGCATAATTTTTTTGCTTTGATTTTCGGGGTGTCTTTGAATTCAGTCCTCTGTAGGTCGATCATTTTCATTTCCATCAAACGATGGGGCATCCTTACTTTCCTGTCACATTACCAAGCCCATATCAGTATACAGTGCCTTGAAAAAGTATTCATACCCCTTGATATTTTCCACAGTTTGTCATGTTACAACCAAAAATGTAAATGTATTTTTATTGGGATTTTATGTGATAGACCAACACAAAGTATCACATAATAGTGAAGTGGAAGGAATATAATAAATGGTTTTCAAATTTTTTACAAATTTAATATCTGAAAAGTGTGGCGTGTATTTGTATTCAGCCCCCTTTACTCTGGTACCCCTCACTAAGTCTCCTAATTAGTAAAAATAGAGTCCACCTGTGTGTAATTTAATCTCCGTATAAATACAGATGTTCTGTGAAGATTTCAGAGGTTTGTTAGAAAATATAAGTGAAGAAACAGCATCGTTAAGGTCAAGGAACACACCAGACAGGTCAGGGATAAAATTGTGGAGAAGTTTAAAGCAGGGTTCGGTTATAAAAATATCCCGAGCTTTGAACATCTCACGGAGCACTGTTCAATCCAACATCTGAAAATGGAAATAGTATGGGACAACTGCAAACCTACCAAGACATGGCCGTCCACCTAAAGTGACAGGCCGGGTAAGAAGAGCATTAATCAGAGAAGCAGCCAAGAGACCCATGGTAACTCTGGAGGAGCTGCAGAGATCCACAGCTCAGGTGGGAGAATCTGTCCACAGGACAACTATTAGTCGTGCACTCCACAAATCTGGCCTTTATGGAAGAGTGCCAAGAAGAAAGCCATTGTTGAAAGAAAGCCATAAGAAGTCCTGTTTGCAGTTTGCGAGAAGCCATGTTGGGGACACAGCAAACGTGGAAGAAGGTGCTCTGGTCAGATGAGACCAAAATTGAGCTTTTTGGCCTAAAAGCAAAACTCTGTGTGTGGAAGAAAACTAACACTGCACATCACCCTAAACACACCATCCTTACCGTGAAACGTGGTGGCAGCATCATGTTGTGGGGATGCTTTTCTTCAGCAGGGACAAGGAAGCTGGTCAGAGTTGTAAAAAACATTTGAAAACTATTTATCATTTTCCTTCCACTTCACAATTATGTGCCACTTTGTGTTGGTCTATCACATAAAATCCCAAAGAAAAACATTTACGTTTTTGGTTGTAACATGACAAAATGTGGAAAATTTCAAGGGGTATGAATACTTTTTCAAGGCATTGTAGATATCCAGCATGATATTTTTCCCCATTGAGATCTGATGTGTTTTCAAAGTGTTCCTTGAATTTTTTTTGAGCGGTGTACATTCAAAATAAATTTGCGTAATCTAGGTCAAACAAAAATAGTCATTCTGCACCTTTCTCAGGTGTGACATTTCAATAAAGTGTAGTCCATATAGTGTTGTCCTACTATTATTCAGGTACCATAGTCTGGGTTTCACATTATTATTATACAGGATCTATATAGCGCCAACAGTTTGCTCAGCGCTTTACAATATAACGGGAGACAATACAGCAACAATACAGTTCAATACAAGAGGGCTAGGAGGGCCCTGCTCCTTGGAGCTTACAATCTAGGAGGGAGGGGCTGTTGGTACAAAAGGTAATAAATGTGGGGTATGGACTGGTAGAAAGAATAGAAGATTCAGTTGTTCGGTGAAGGCAGGATAGGCTTCCCTGAAGAGAGAGGTTTTCAGAGATCGCCTAAAAGTGGGCAGCGTAGGCGATAGTCGGATAGATTGGGGTAGAGCATTCCAGAAGATGGGGGAGGCTCTGGAGAAGTCCTAGAGATGACCATGGGAGGAGGAGACAAGGGAACTAGAGAGCAGGAGGTCACATGGCCACCTTGGTGGTGCTCTGTGATTGTGAACCAACTGTCTATTCCAGGCTTAGGCACCTGGCCTACAGAACTTGGGAGAGGAAAGCCAGCTTATGATTACTGAGGAGGACCAAGATGGCACCTTAACAGCTGATTTCAGCTGGATGCCTAACGCTTAAGTCCTCATGCCGTTTTTACAACTGCTGTTTTTGGTGCTTTTTTTCTACAGCCAGTAAACCCCCCCCCCAGCATATTATCCTATGTGTTTTGGCAGTGCCGTTTTTAGGCCGGAAAAAAAACCCAGGACTAGTGGATTTCTAGAGTTTTATAGGTAAAAACACTCTAACGTGGTAAAACGCCGCAAACTGGCCTTTTTGGAAGTTTTTTTGAGCCAAAAAAAATTTATTTTTTGGTAAAAATAAAGTGGGAAAACGCCGCTAATGCAAAAATGCTAAAAAAAAAAAAAAAAAAAGCTGAAAAACTTGTGTTTTTAACGTGACTTTACAAAGCTAATGTTACCAGCGTTATCAAAACACCCAGTAGTAGTAGTAGTAGATCGCCACAAAAATAACAAAAAGTCAGGCCCCCTGCAGGTTAAGTCATAATATATACCTTGGAAAGTCTGCGCCAACTGGATAAATAAATAGAAAAAATACAACAAAAAGGGGGTAAATAGTCTAAAGCTGAGATATTAAACAGGTGTAACCGCGCTGTATGTATATCTATATGGTCACAAATTCCATGTGAACCAACAAATATGTTAGAATCCGATCTCAAAAATTTGATCCCAAAAACATATCAAGCATTCAACAATACATAATATAAAAAGCAGGTGCGCAGGTGATTTGGAAGGTTTTTTGGTACCTTTTTTGGTGTCACAGCAGCTTCCCTATAGCGCTCACTTTACCATTTTGTGCTTTTATTCAACAATACATAACTGTGCTTTGGTGCGTTCGTATCAATAAATATATGAATCAATAAGTAAATAAAGTGAAATAAAAAATAGAAATTCATGCGGAAATAAAAAAATTTATAGAGCCAAAAAACAGTCCAACGTTAATATCCAGTGCATATGTGCAAATCATCCAATAATGTGCAAAGTGGTGCAATATAAAAAGTTGAACAGACAGCTTTAAGTCATAATGTACTAATATACATCACATACTAGCACATTATGACTGCTTTACCTGCACACAGAGCTCTCCAAAGTTCAGTGCTGTCACAGCTCCCCGGTACTTCCATCCTCACCTGGTCTTCCTTCCGGGTTCGCTGGCTCTGGCTGTATGTATGGCCAGGGCTATATTGATGTCACTCCCACGCATGCATGGGAACCCCAGCCATAGCACGGCGCTCTGAAGGATTGCCCCATTCAGAGTGCATGCTCCAGTGACATCACTGGCTGCATCTCATGTGAATGTCTCCTAAATGGTGCAAGTTTATTGTCTAATAAGTTTGCCTGTAGGTACAAGTTTATTATAAGCTTGCCTGTAGGTACAGGTTTATTATAAGCTTGCCTGTAGGTACAGGTTAAAAAGTGGACTTCCACTTTAATCCACTTGGCAGTTAATGGCATAATGGCACCCAGCAACCAATGAAAATAAGATCTGATGTCAGAGAGTGGAAAGCACTCTGTAGCAAACCTAAGCAAAACCTGAGTCTGGAAACCCAGTGTAATAAAGTTCACTTCCAGGCTAGCCCCACAATATCAAGTCTAGCAGGGTCTGGATGTGGTATGGTCCAAAACCAGACTAAGGACTAACGTGCCTGGTTTTTGGAGCGTACCACAAAAGATGAGATGATTATAAAAATGCTAGAAAACCACAAGTTAGTCTTTACAACACCACAGCTGAAGAAAAGACGTCAATTCTAGGACACTAGCAAAAAACAGAGGCATGCTGGAAGTAGGAGAGGTTGGCCTACAGTTTTGTTTGCCAGGGTCCAATCCTCCTGTAGGTAGCTGTATAACCTGAAAGTCTTGTCTTCCTGCGTCCCTCAACAGAACAGAAAGCAATTAGCATTAATAATTATTATTATACAGTATTTATAAAGCGCCAATAGTTCGCTCAGCTCTGTACATTACAATGGGGGACAGAACATGTGACAGAACAATACCAATACAATGCAAAACATGAGGGGATCGAATAATCTTTATCTTAATACTCCTCCTGGCCACCTCACCTGTATGTGGTGTCATGCCCAGTATATAAATGAAAGACAAGCCATCACAACAGGTAAAGAGTGGGGGTATCTTGCCACACAAATCTTTTCAGTGTGGTACTCAACTCCCAACAACACCCCCCCCCCTCAATATTTGTCAGTAGTGCTATAGTGCTCCTCAAAACACATACCCACACGGCAAATCCAGCATTGTCCTACTGCACTCTATTAGGCTGCTACACATTGGGTCACATGCCGCCATCTTGGTTCTCTTTGGCTGGCTGCCTCTTCTCCCCTGGCTGCTTTCTGTGCCGATTCTGCAGCCTCCTGGGAGATGTGGTGTAAGCATCCCAGGAGGCTGCAGGACCAGGCACACATCATTCAGGCTTAGCCTGAAATGGTGGCGAGGGTGCGGGATAAAATATAAACAAAATGAAGAAAAGCCGAACCAAAAATGAAGTCTATAATTTTCTGGGTGCGTTAGAAATTAAACTTCGTGGGGGGGAAAAACATAGTGCAACAGTCATCCTACCTTCCTGCTGTGGATCTATTGCCCATCTCTCCCTTGGTACCTTTCCATAAATGTAATGGAGGGAGGAATAAGGCTGTACTTATACAGAATAAGCCCAAGGTCTAATTTTTCCATGTTATTGTTTATGGGGGTGCTCTGTAAGTGATGCTACGACCCCGAAAAGTAAATGCTGGGTTTGTAGTCTGTCTTAGGGGTTCTTCTGAAATTTATACAGCATGTTTATCATGTTACTTTTGTGTAATTTGTGTGTGTTTTTCCTCTCCATATTTTTTGTACTGATGTGTGTCTTTCCCTACAGCCCGAGGACCTCATGAATATGCAGCACTGCAACTTGCTGTGTTTGCCAGAAAATTACCAGATGAAGTATTACTTTTACCATGGACTATCCTGGCCACAGGTAGGCTAAGCGTGGTCTTTTAAAGGCCCCATTTACACTTGCAAATGGGGCGACGTGCAATTACACGTGGGAGACTGTCTGCATCTAAGGCTGATCAGCTGCATGACTGTGAGTTCTGTCAGGCTCCCATTGCTTTCAATGGGGCTTCCCACCAGCACCTATTTGCATGGTGGGAAGATTCTCCGTTGAATTTTCTATGGATAGTTGGAAACGGCCCCTTTACACAAGTGTGAATGGGTCCTTAGGGACGTCTGCTTGTTTCCTGTCTGAAAACTTTTTTACAGTGATCACTATCCTGAAGTCCCTTCTGGACTCTGATGCCTTTTTTTTATCATGTAGATGAAATGCACTAATGTGCTATTAAACCATATCTTTCAGTTGGAATGTTATTGCTTTACCTTTGGGTATGCACACCACCTGGGGCGGACTGACCATTTGGAAACTCGGGCACTGCCCGAGGGCCCGGGGTCAGTAGGGGGCCCCATGAGATGCCCCTGGTACCTTTTTCATAGGCTTTTTTGAGTTTGGGCAAGGACACAGGGGCCCCATGATCCCCTATTGCCCGGGGGCCCCATGAGTTGTCAGTCCGCCCCTGCACACCACTGTGCAAGAGCCTTCATTAACCGCATCCCCGCCGCCCTATAGCACAAATACTGCTACAGGGCGGCAGGGCTGCGCAAAATCACGTGTATATACTGTATACCTGATTTTGCATTTCACACTCCCATTCCTTCTGTACTGAAATGTATTATAATTATACTGTCTCCCTTATATTGTAAAGTGCTGCGCAAACTGTTATAATAACAATTTCCGGGTAGGGGGCGCACATGCGCTCCCTACCCTTGCTGCCATTGGCGGCTACGGCTATTGATAACCGGGTCCTGGAGCAGAGATTACCCGCCGGTGATCACCGAAGAACACTTGATAGAGAAGAGGTCTGTATGTAAACAATACACAGCTCTCCCCTGTCAGCACCAGCATGCTCTTTGTTTTGCTCTGCATAGCAGAGCATACAAAGCAGCTTTGTTTTGCACAGTAAAGCACACAGTTAACCCTTTGATCACCCCAGATGTTAACCCCTTCCTGCCCATTGTCATTAGTACAGTGGTTTTTTTTTTTTTGTTTTTTTTTTTAGCACTGATCACTGTATTAGTGTCACTGGGGATGTCAGTGGCAGTTAGTGTCAGAATACCCGCCGCAGTCCCACTATAAGTCGCTGATTGCCGCCATTACTAGTATAAAGAAAAAACAAAATTCCAGTATATATACTGCCATTTGTAGACGGTAGAATTTGCACATGAATCGATTAATTTACACGTATTGGGATTTTTTTTTTAGCAAGGACACGTAGCAGAATACATTTTGGCCTAAATTTATGATGAAATTTGATTTTTAAATTTTTTTTTTTTGCTGGCTATGTTTTATAGCAGAAAGTAAAAAATATATGCATTTTTTTTTTTTAAATTGTCGGTCATTTTTTGTTTATAGCGCAAAAAATAAAAACCCGCACAGGCGATCAAAAGCTCTATTTGTTTGAATAAAAAAAAAAGGCCATACATTTCATTTGGGTGCAGCGTTGCATGACCATGCAATTGTCAGTTAAAGTAACACAGCGCAATATTGCAAAAAATGGCCTGGTCAGGATGGGGGGGGGGGGTAAATCCTCTAGAGGGTAAGTGGTTAAGTAGATGGAAAACCTAATTAAATAGCAATATATTTTTAATTAATTGTATGTGTATGGTGTGAGCGATATTTATTACACAGTATATATATTGTTCATATTATTATCTAGCATTTGCAATCACAATATCAGCTAACAAGATTTTTCTATATATAAGATGTAAAACCTAACTTAATTATATTCATTTTGCTAAACTAAAGAATTTCCATTGTTTTTAAGTAAAATAATGTTGTTTCATTCTTTGATTGATTGATTTCCTAGAGCCTTTTTGCAACTATTTTTGTTACACATGCATGCGCCCCAGGATTGTTGCATGGCCTTTCTTAGGGCAGGTTTTACAGATGGTGACAACACTGGGCCATGTCTGCATAATTTGTGTTCAAATGGCCACTTGTAGTCTTCAGTGCAAGCCCCTGTGACAGGGTGACAACACACGAGTAAAATTATGGGACTGGGATAGAACTGTCATCCTATAACAGGAAGTGCAGAACAAGGATTTTCATGATAACAAGAAAAAATATTCGTTTAATAAAAGTTGCAGATTTAACCACTTCCAGACCGGACACTTTTACCCCCTTCCTGTCCAGGGCAATTTTCAGCTTTCAGCGCTATCACACTTTGAATGACAATTGCGCGGTCATGCAACACTGTACCCAAATGAATTTTTTACCATTTCTTTGAGACAGATAAAGCTTTATTTTGGTGGTATTTATTCACCACTTGGATTCTTATTTTTTTGCTATGTAAATGAAAAAAGTCCAAAAAGTTTGAAAAAAAGGGTGTTTTTTTATTAAATTTTGCAAATAAATAATATTTCATCATAAATCTTGGCCAAAATTTATTCCGTTATCTTTTTAGTAAAAAAAAAAATCCAAATTAGTTTATAACCAAAAATTATAATTTTTAAAGAAATTTTTTTTACATTTTTATTTTATTTTTTTATATTATTATTTTTTATTTTTTTTTTTTTTTACATACTATCACCCTAGCAGTACAGTGTCACTGACTGGGCTCTGACTAGGCCATGCAAGGGCGTTCCCCTTCGACCACCGTATGGTCATTTTTACTGTGTGCTTTGGCTGATTGTCACGTTGGAAGGTAAACCTTCTTCCCATTGACATCTTTCTGGCAGAGTTGCAGCAGGTTTTCCTCAAGAATGTGATGGTATTTTGCCCCATCCATTTTTCCTTCTATCCCGACAAGTGCTTCAGTCCCTGCTGCAGAGAACCCCCCATAACAGGATATTCCCTCCTCCATGCTTTACTGTAAGAATGGTGGGATTTGGATGGTGAGCTAGATTGTACACTGTTAAAAAAAAAAAAAAAAAAAAAATTAAAGGAACACTTTGAAAACACATCAGATCTTAATGGGGAAAACTATCATGCTGGATGTCTATACTGATATGGCCTGAGTAATGTGTTCGGAAAGTAAGGATGCCCCATCGTTTGATGGAAATGAAAATTATCAACCTACAGAGAACTGAATTCAAAGACACCCCGAAAATCAAAGCGAAATAATGATGCAGCAGGCTAGTCCATTGTGCTGAAATTTCATTGCAGCAACTCAGAATGGTCCTCAGTAGTTTGTATTGCCCCCACGTGCTTGTATGCATGCCTGACAATGTCGGGGAAGGGTCCTAATGAGACCATGGATGGTGTCCTGGGGTATGTCCTCCCAGACTTGGACCAGGGCATCACTGAGCTCCTGGACAGTCTGAGGTGCAACCTGGCAGCGTCAGATGGACCGAAACATGATATCCCAGAGGTGTTCTATTGGATTTAGGTCAGGTGAGCGTGGGGTCCATTCAATGGTATCAATTTCTTCATCCTCCAGGAACTGCCTGCATACTCCCCCCACATGAGGCCGGGCATTGTCATGCACCAGGGGGAACCCACTACCCACTGCACCAGCGTAGGGTCTGACAATGGGTCCGAGGATTTCATCCCGATACCTAATGGCAGTCAGGATGCCATTGTCTAGCCTGTAGAGGTCTGTGCGTCCCTCCATGGATATGCCTCTCCAGACCATCATTGACCCACCACCAAAACGGTCATGCTGAACCATGTTACAGGCAGCAGAACGTTTTCCACAGCTTCTCCAGACCCTTATACGTCTGTCATGTGCTCAGGGTGAACCTGCTCTCATCTGTGAAAAGTACAGGGTGCCAGTGGTGGACTTGTCAACTCTGGTGTTCAATGGCAAATGCCAATCGAGCTCTATGGTGCCGGGCAGTGAGCACAGGGCCCACTAGAGGGCGTCAGGCCCTCAGGCCACCCACATTAAATCTGTTTCTGATTGTTTGGTCAGAGACATTCACACCAGTGGCCTGCTGGAGGTCATTTTGTAGGGCTCTGGCAGTGCTCATCCTGTTCATCCTTGCACAAAGGAGCAGATGCCAGTCCTGCTAATGGGTTAAGGACCTTCTATGGCCTTGTCAAGCTCTCCTAGAGTAACTGCCTGTCTCCTGGAATCTCCTCCATGCTCTCGAGACTGTGCTGGGAGACACAGCAAACCTTCTGGCAATGGCATGTATTGATGTGCCATCCTGGAGAAGTTGGACTGCCTGTGCCCTACGGTCCAGGTATCGCCTCATGCTAGCAGTAGTGACACTGACCCTAGCCAATGCAAAAACAGTCAGAAAAGATGAGTAGGGAAAAAAATGTCAGTGGCCTCCACCTGTAAAATTATTCCTGCTTTGGGGGTCGTCTCATTATTGCCCATCTAGTGCACCTGTTGTTAATTTCATTAACACCAAAGCAGCTGAAACTGATTACCAAGACCCTCTGCTACTTAACTGACCAGATCCATATCCCAGGAGTTTCATTGACTTGATGCTAGACTCAGATTAAAAAGTCTTCCTTTAATTTATTTGAGCAGTGTATTTCCGACAGACATATCGTTTAGTGTTGAGACCAGATAATTCAATGTTGGTCTCATCTGACCAGAACACCTTTTTCCATGTGGCCTCGGAATCTTCAAGGTGCGGTTTGGCAAAGCTCAATGGTGACTGTTTGTGGTCTTTCTTGAGGAGCGGCTTTTTTCTTGCAACCCTCCCATACAAGCCATATTTGTGGAGAATTTGTAATATTGTTGTCAAATGCACACAATGACCACTCTTTGTCATCAATTTCTGCAAATGCTTCAGAATTGCTGTAGGCCACTTGGTAGCCTCTCTGACCAGTTTCCTCCTGGCTCTTTCATCCAGTTTGGAGTGAAGTCCTGGCCCAGGGAGAGTCTGTGTTGTACCAAATACCTTCCACTTCTTAATAGTATCCAAAGACATGCTGGTAGGTGATTTGGCTCCTGTCTAAAGTGGCCCTAGTATGTGTATGTATGAATGAGTTGTTAGGGACCTTAGATTGTACACCTCTTGAGGGTTAGGGACTGATGTGAGTGTACAATGTGTATATATATATATATATGTAAATTGATGGCGCTATACAAGTACCTGCAATAAATAATAAATAGTAGACTTCACTGTGCTTCTAGGCATTGATAAAGCCTTTGAATTTGTTTTTTGGATCCATTTCCTGACTTTTGCCTGTCCACAACTTTTTCCCGGAGATCTTTTGACAGTGCCGTGCCACCCATAGTTTTTTGCTTCAGTAGCTATCAGAGAACTTAATACTAGCACAGCTACTGCTCATTCTCATGCAGCTAATGCTCGTGCACATGTATTGGCACACAAACAAGCTCAGGCCAATATCCAGCATGCATACGTAGTCATATTGGCACACACGTCCACACTCATTGGCACCAAGCTGCCTATTTAAAGGAGTCCCTGGTGTGTGCTAATTGTTGGATGTTCTTCAGCTCCCCCGTGACCTGTGTTTCTGCTTATGCTGACTACCACATCTGCCTCCCCCCTCTGCCAATCCCTTCATTGGCTCCCAATTGCCCAACGCATCAAATTCAAACTGCTAACTCTGACCTACAAAGCCATTCACAATGCCGCCCCAAACGACATAACTGACCTGATACCCAAATACTACCCTACCCGTGCCCTCCGCTCCTCACAGGCCCTCCTGCTCTCTATCTCCCTGGTCTCCTCCTCCCACGCCCGATTGCAGGACTTCTCCAGGACTTCCCCCATCCTCTGGAACTCCCTACCCCAATCCATCAGACTGTCACCTACCCTCCTCACCTTCAGGCGCACCCTGAAAACCCTACTCTTCAGGGAAGCCTACCCCAACCTCACCTAACACCCGACCTCACCTAACAACTAACCTCCTCCACTCCATCCCCCACAGCCATCTCCTCCTGTGCCACCTTCCTCTCCCTCCTAGATTGTAAGCTCGAAAGAGCAGGGCCCTCGAACCCCTCGTGTATTGTATTGTTACTGTCTTGTCTCATGTTCTGTCCCCCTTGCTACTGTACAGCACTGAGCAAACCCTTTGGTGCTATATAAATACTGTATAATAACAATAATAATCTCCTGTTGTTGACCCGGCTAGTTCCTGACCTTGCTCTGTGGATTTGGATACTGACCTTGGCTTGCCTCTGACTATTCTCTGCCTGTTTCCTTGGTTCTGACCTCAACCTGCTACTGGATCTCGCTGCTTGCTTCTATGGTATTGACTCCGACCTGCTACCTGACTGCCGCATCGTGTATGACCCTGGCTAATTCAGACTATGTCTCTGATCCTGGCAGTTATCTGCTACCAAGCTACTGGCTCCCGTGCTTCTTTGAGCCTTTTACCTCTCTCACCACCTTCAGGGGTGCTCGGACAAGAGCGCAAGGGAATCTCTCTCGTCAGTTCGACCTCCAACCAAGGTACATGACAGTTGCACTATCAGGGACTGAAATGCTCCAGGAAAGCTCTTTTTACGCTGAGCTAATCAAAATGACCATAGCTGATCACAGTTGAAAGTCAGTTAGCGTTGTGTGCCATTGAGAAGGTGATTAACTACACCTGATTGAGCTTACAAGTCATTTTTAGGAGGACGTTGATCCATTTTCCAACTTGGTGATTCTGTTTTTGATTTTTTTTTTTTTCCCCGACATGTTGGTGTTGTCTTTCACTAGGACATTATAAGTTGCAAGTAAATACAGTGGGATAAAACAAAAACTGTGTCTGTCTTCATTTCAGACTGCAAAGCAGCAAAGTGTGATTATTTTAAAGAGGGTGATTCTTTTCTATACTCCCTGTAAATAGTCAATGTTTATTGAGAGGGTGTTACTAAACCCAGGACCTTGCATTCGCTATATCTGTTCTCCCACAGTACACACAGCATGGAAATGCAATTATTTAAGTAAATATGAACTGCTAAATATCTTTTCTCATCAGCAGTATATAGCAGTCTTGTGACTTCTATCCATGTCTGGCCAAGCACTGTAGGAGGAGGTTTCATTCTGCTCTGACTGTCCTATGAGGCTGCATAACCCTTGACCCTCTATCTGGACAGTGCTGATTTGGCCGTGTGCTGATCACATGCACCCTTCCATAGAAAAAATTCTCTAGCAATACACAGCACACTGAGCATGTGCAGAGTGCCTCCTAGAGCTCTGTACTATTAGCAGATGGATTGGGGACAGTAGAAGAAGGGAAAGATCAGAGAAGACAGGATCAAAGCCTTTTTACACAATGCAGAGGATTAACCCCTTAGGTTCCACAGTGAGTATAACAAGCATGCTTTACTGCATCTACAGACTGATTTTACTGTTGTGGGTTTAGTAACACTTTAAGTAAGTTAGATCAGTGTGAAATATTTATTCTTTTTTTTTCTATTCCTCTAGCTCTCCTACATTGCAGAAGATGAAAACGGAAAAATTGTTGGTTATGTCTTGGCAAAAATGTGAGTTGTAAACCGTTTATGACTGCAGATATTCCACAGATTTATTGTTTCTTCCTGTAAAATGTGTTCATAGAGACCCTGATGTACTGTATGTTCTGTTTAGATTGTAGGCAACATTAAGAGGTCAGTTGGTGTTTGGCACGTCTTCAGCAGGATCCATACCTGTGTGTTTTGTGCAGCATCAATAGTGTCCTCTTTGGCCACCTGCTTAGGTTCCTATAAAGCTGAACTCCAGACAAGCAGTTATTAAAATGTATATGACTTCCAAAGGATTTGCATTTCTGTCCATCCAGTGCTGAGATGTACACCGCTTTGCCGCACACAGCCCTGTCTGGCAGAGCAGTATTCCAATTTTTTTTCTTTGCTGTGGTTAGTGGACCATGACTTAACCACTTCCATACCGGGCACTTTTACCCCCTTCCTGCCCAGGCCAATTTTCAGGTTTCAGCATTTTCACACTTTGAATGACAGCTGCGCGGTCATGCAACACTGTACCCAAACTAAAATTGTACCATTTTGTTCACACAACTAGAGCTTTTTTTTGGTGGTATTTAATCACCGCTGGGGTTTTTTAATTTTTGCTAAATTAACAAAAAAAAGACCAAAAATTTTGTTTTTGTTATAAAAGTTTGCAAATAAATAATTGTTCTTCATAAATTTAGGCCGAGATGTGTTCTGCTACATGTCTTTGGTGAAAATAATACAAATCAGTATTTATTTTTTGGTCTGTAGGAAAGTTATAGAGTCCACAAACTATAGGATATATCTGAAAGTCGATCAATCCTGAAGTACTGACGACCAATCTAATTTCTTGAGGTCCAAGAATGTCAGAACAGTACAGATATCCCCCAAATGTCAGGACGGTACAGATATCCCCCAAATGTCAGGACGGTACAGATATCCCCCAAATGTCAGGACGGTACAGATATCCCCCAAATGTCAGGACGGTACAGATATCCCCCAAATGTCAGGACGGTACAGATATCCCCCAAATGTCAGGACGGTACAGATATCCCCCAAATGTCAGAACGGTACAGATATCCCCCAAATGTCAGGACGGTACAGATATCCCCCAAATGTCAGGACGCTACAGATATCCCCCAAATGACCCCGTTTTGCAAAGTAGACAGTCCGACGTACTTCATAAGAGGCATGGCGAGTTTTTTGAAGTTGTAATTTTTTTGTAATAATTTTTCGGAAAATGAAGAAATTAAAAAGATTATTTTCACAATTTTTTTTTTTTACATATGGGGGAGGTGTTCTATAGCCCAATGAGGTAGCTGAGAACAATTCTAATTTTGTAAGTAATAGTTCTTTGCAGTGGAGGCAAAGAATATAGGAAGTTACCAGCTCACAAGGCTTTTTGGCAGGATGTACTTTACTTTCGCCACCTCCTTTTGTTACTCAGATCCCAGCCACTTTCACCTCAGAAACTTGATAGGTCCTTTGTGGCCCTTGGACCAAGTGCCACACTGAAAAGATAACTGCTTTCCCCCCACCCTATAGCAGAACTACTACTACAGGGCTGCACAAAATTACATATATGTGATTTGCATTTCTGCATTTGGGCTTCCCTACCCACGCCGACATTGGTGGTTAAGGGGGGTGAATTACCGGGTCCCGGCCGGAGATACCCCACCGATCATTGGGGAAAGCTGACGGGAGAGACCTGTGTGTAAACACCACAGGACTCTCTCCTGCCAGCAAGGACATGCTGCTTTGTATTTCTCTGCACAGCATGTCTCCCTAGTAAAACAGCACACTGTTAACCCTTAGATCGCCCCAGATGTTAACCCCTTCCTGCCCAGTGCCATTAGTACAGTGTTTGGCTTCTTATTAGCACTGATCACTGTATTCGTGTCATTGGGATGTTAGTGGCAGTTAGTCAGTTCCCACCCAGTGTGAGAATGCCTGCTGGAGTCCCACTAGAGAAGTCGCTGATCGCTTCCATTACTAGTATATATATAAAAAAAAAAAAAATCAAGTGTGTATATATACCACTATTTGTAGATGCTATAACTGTCACGTAAACTAATAATTTACATGTATTGCGTTTTTTTTTTTTTTTTTTTTTTTTAGCAAAGACATAGCAGAATATTATTATTATTATTTATACAGTATTTATAAAGCGCCGATAGTTCACCCAGCGCTGTACATTACAAAGGGGGACAGAACATGTGACAGTACAATAACAATACAATGGAAAACATGAGGGGATTGAGGGCCCTGCTCTTTCGAGCTTACAATCTAGGAGGGAGGGGATGGTGGGACAGGAGGAGATAGCTGTGGGGGATGGGGTGGTAGGAGGAGTGGAGGAGGTCGGCAAGTTAGTAGGGGGTGGGGTAGGCTTCTCTGAAGAGATGGGTTTTCAGGGTGCGCCTAGAGGAGAGTAGGTGATAATCTGATGGTTTGGGGCAGGGAGTTCCAGAGGATGGGTGACACCCTGGAGAAGTCCTTGAGGCGGGCATGGGAGGAGGAGACCAGGGAACTAGAGAGAAGGGGGTCTTGTGAGGAGCGGAGTGTGCGTGTTGGGTGGTACTTGGATATTAGGTCAGTGATGTAGTACGGGGCAGTATGGTGGACAGCTTTGTACGTCAGTGTTAGGATTTTGAATTTGATCCGTTGCGCAATCGGAAGCCAGTGGAGGGATTGGCAGAGGGGGATGGCGGAGATGGAGCTGTTGGAAAGGTGAATGAATCTGGCAGCCGTATTCAGGATGGACTGAAGCGGGGATAGCCAGCGGCGAGGCAGGCCAGTGAGGAGGGAGTTGCAGTAATCGAGTCGTGATATGATGAGGGAGTGGATGAGCTGTTCAGTGGTTTCTGGGGTTAGGAACGTCCGAATACAATTTGGTCTAAATTTTATGAAGAAAGTAGATTTTTTAAATATTTTTTTACTGGATATGTTTTATAGAAAAAAAAGTCACAAATATTGTTTTTGTTTTTTTTTGTTTTTTCTAAATTGTCGTTTTTTTTTGTTTATAGTGTAAACAATAAAAATCAGGTGATCAAATACCATTGAAAGAATGCTGTATACGTGGGAAAAAAAGGACATAAATTGAATTTATGTACAGCGTTGTATGACCGTGCAATTGTCAGTTAAAATAATGCAAACAAAATGGCCTGGTCAGGAAGGAGGGTAAATCCTCTGGAGGGCAAGGGGTTAAATAGTATACAGAACAGAATATTAGTTTGGTGTCTTAAAGAATATAAAAACAAAATACTATCTATTATACCATACTGGAAGGGCAAGTGGTTAAAGTAGAACTATAGGCAGAACAATTTTTAAGCCAAAACAGGAAGTGGGAAAATCTCTGCAAATGAAGGAAATTTTTTGGGGACCCCAGGTCAACAGAACATTGGAAAATTTCTCCTCTATTTACTTTTCTGGGGACAGACCAAAAGTTGGTGTTTCTTTTACTTTCGATGCTAATGGTGAGAGGACAAATAGGATGCATCTCCCTAATGGGGGCACAGACAGCAATAAAAACCTGACAGTTCTAATTCATCTCCATTCTATCCAAAAAAAAAAAGGTTTTGCCTTTTAGCTATACTTTATCGTATGACTAGTTTTAGAGTGGGAAGAGATTAAAGCACCTGTCAGGTTTTTATTGCTGTGTGTGTCCTTCGGGTTCCCAGCAGAACAGGAATGGAGGGGAAATCTTGCAGTGGTGACATTGGTTCTGGTGGCAATTAGAAATTTCCTCCAACTTCCTGTTGTGGCTATGGACAGGAAGTGAAGGGAAATCTCCCCTATGAAACGCATGTCCAAAAAAGAAAAAAAAAAACTGACAGGTGTTTATAACTCTCCCTTAGTCTATCCAAAATGAGATAGTTTATTACACCAGCCATTTGATGGTTTCACAGTTTGGTTGACAGCACAAGCAAATGTGACAGTTGGGCATGCCGGGAATGTAACTGTTTTTTAAAACACTTAAATTGATGGGTTTTGTTCCGTTTTAATGCCAGTTATAGGAATCCTTATTTTTACTAAAAATGGGAAAACTACACCAAACATGTTTAGGGCTCATTCACACCATGATGCACAGACATCTGTTTTTCTGCAACAAAATCAGTTCTCTATGTGCCATGTTCACACCATATCACTAGTATCACGTGCAGATTTTTTCTGCGCAGGAATCTGCAATGTGTATAAAACTCTTTGAAACGTGTATGAAAACTGATATAAACTGATATCTGTGCAAGTGAATCTGCGCATCAGTTTTCCAACAGTCTTTCTGCATGTATGGTGTGAATGAGAAGAGGAGATTAAGGAGGGATATGATCTCCATTTATAATACATAAGGGGGGATATGATCTCCCTCTATAATACATAAGGGGGGATATGATCTCCATGTATAATACATAAGGGGGGATATGATCTCCATGTATAATACATAAGGGGGGATATGATCTCCATGTATAATACATAAGAGGGGATATGATCTCCATGTATAATACATAAGGGGGGATATGATCTCCATGTATAATACATAAGGGGGGATATGATCTCCATCTATAATACATAAGGGGGGGGGATATGATCTCCATGTATAATACATAAGGGGGATATGATCACCATGTATAATACATAAGGGGGGATATGATCTCCCTGTATAATACATAAGGGGGGATATGATCTCCATGTATAATACATAAGGGGGATATGATCTCCCTCTATAATACATAAGGGGGGATATGATCTCCATGTATAATACATAAGGGGGGATATGATCTCCATGTATAATACATAAGGGGGGATATGATCTCCCTGTATAATACATAAGGGGATATGATCTCCATTAGAGATGAGCGAATCGAACCTTGGCGAAGTGGAATTCGTTTCGAATAATAGGAAAATTTCGATTCGCGGACGAATCCGAAAATTAGCAGACTTCGGATGCGCGAATCGAAATTTTTCAAAAAATGGCGGCGATACGGAGCGGGGGGTATCTCTGGGAAGGCGTGCAGATAAGGCGCGCTGACCCATAATGCTTTTCA